CCCAGAAGAGGGCAAAAAACAACCCTCCAGGATCCCTGGCCAAACTGGTTTTAATTGCTATTGTATATTGTCTTAGCATTGATGGAACCTGTCCTGAGCCTGCTTTCTGGGAGGGTGGGATACAAGTTCAATAAAATAGATAAAATAAATAGCTTCCTTTTCCCTAAAGTGGCGATCAGCATTCCCCTGGGCGTGTGAGAAAGGGCCAGGAGAACTAAGCACTGAGGCAACCCTCCCTGCCCTCCCTTCTCATGATCAGCCTAAGTTCACAGAATCAGCATTGCTATCAGATGACCATCTAGCCAGCCTCTGTTTGAAAACCTCCAAAGAAGGAGAGCCCACCACCCCCTGAGGAAGACTTTTCCACTGAGGAACCGTTCTCATATCACCTCTCAGTCGTCTCCTCTCCAGGCTAAACATACCCAGCTCCCTCAATCTTTCCTCATAGGACTTGGTCTCCAGACCCTTCACCATCTTCATTGCCCTCCTCTGGACATGTTCCAGCTTGTCTATATCCTTCTTAAATTGTGGTGCCCAAAACTGAACACAGTACTCTAGGTGAGGTCTAACCAGAGCAGAGTAAAGCGATACCATCACTTTGTGTGATCTGGACACTATACTTCTGTTGATACAGTCCAAATTCCTGGAGTTTTGAGGGGTGGAGCCTGGAGAGGGTGGGGCTTGAGGAGGGGTGGGACCTTAGACAGGTACGATGCCATAGGCTCCATCCTCCAAACCAGCCATTTCCACCTGGGGAACCATTGTTGCTAATCTCTAGGTGAGGGCTGGAGATCACTCAGAATTACAACTGCTCTCCAGATGGCAGAGATCAGTTCGCCTGGAGAAAATGATGGACTCTGTGTCCTGCTGAGGTTGCCATGGCAAATTGACACTGAGTGCCCAAGGCCAGGGCACCCACCCAGAGCCTCTTTCTAGAGTTCGTTGTATTTATTTCTACAACAAGCCTTATTCCTACCTCCCACCCCACTGTGAGCTTTCTTTTTTATTTCTTAGAGATGGGGCTTGGGGCGTCTAAGGGAAGGGAGCGCCATTCCATCAGAGCATGTGACTGGCGGGAAACAGCTCTACGCATGCTCCAAGGGCGAGGGGGTACTTCCTCTGTTGCTTTTTATAGCTAGAATATTATCTCCCTGGCTGGTCTGCATCTGCACAGTCCCCACGTGTGCTTGCACAGAATAAGAGTGACAAGTAAGTGCAACCTTTTTCAAAAAGTATTTGTAGTGGGTGGGGGGGAATGCTTTGATCTCTTTTGCTGTAACCCAGACTAGGCCTCTCTCATCAGAGCTTAGAAGCTAAGCAAGGTTGGCTACACTCAGTACTTGAATGGGGGGAGACCACTAAGGAAGACAGGGGGGTTGGTATGTAGAGCTGGGCAATTGCAAACCGCCTCTACTCACCCTCTGGCCTTGAAAACCTCATGGTCCCGCCTGGGGTCACTATGAGTCGGTTGTGACTTGGCTACCCAGTTTTGGTTTCCAAGAACAGGATGAAATATTACCAGGTGCATCCATGGTCCCTGCAGGCAGCACTTCCCCAAACAAAAGGTACACTATTGTGACATGTTTTCTTAGCTGGAGTTCTGCCAGTAATATTATGTGCAGGAAATTTACCTGTAAAATTCAGTGCAATGGTCTGCCAGCAACGGGGTTGAGGAAAAAGAGGTTGCGGCGTGGGTCTGAGAACGTTCCTTATTAGTTTTCTTCATTTAAAAAAATCATGCTACCTTTCCACTCATCCAAATAGGTTCCCCAAGGTGAAAAAAGATTTAAGATGCATTTAAAATAATATATATAAAATAATTCAATACAAACACATAAATACAGACACACAAAAACACACAACACCATATCGCAGCTGTAGCACTCTGGAGATGTTGTGAAGTGGGCCAAGTACGAAACTTGGGGTCTAACTGCATGTTGCGTGGGAGATTCATGATGGGCAGTGCAACCCTAAACAGAGTTACATAGTTCTAAGTCCGTGGAGCTGGTGGGCTTAGAATTGTGTTTAGGAGGGCACTGCAGCTAACGTTTCTGCTTGAATAGACTGATCCATGTCCCAATTAAGAATTTACCAGTGCAGTCCTAAGCAGGGTTGCACCCTTCCAACCCCACTGAAGTCTTAGGGCCAAGCTAGATGTATTTTTTTAATGAGTCAGATCTGGATTCCCCTGACCCAACTCACGAGAGAAAGCTGTTGCAGGAAGGCCAGATAATGAAACTGAAGCTCAAATACTTTGGCCACCAAATGAGAAGGGAGCACTCACTGGAGAAGACCTTGATGCTTGGAAAGATTGAAGGTCAAAGAAGACGGGGACGGCAAAGGATGAGATGGTTAGACAGTATCATCGATGCAACGAACATGAAATTGAGCCAACTTCAGAGGACAGCGGAAGATCGGAAGGCCTGGCGAGAGCTCGTCCATGAGGTCGCGAAGAGTCGGACTCGACTGTGCGACTGAACAACAACAACATCTTTTAAAGCTCCACAGGGCATCGATGGTGTGTAGAGGGGGAAGGGGCTTCAGTCCCCCTGCCCGTGCCTTTTTCTCAACCTGAAACAGTGCTGGAGGCGTCACTTACCCCGTTTTGGAAGTCGCACGTGCAGTGTTCAGTGCATCTGCCGTGTGAAAGGCCAATAACACCCCGGGGCCATTTGCATTGGGAAAAGGGGGGGGGGGGGGGGGCCAGGCCGAAGCCTCTTCTTCCCCTGTGCTGCTTTTCTCATCCAAATTGGGCCCTGGTAGCTCTTTCGAATTTTGTTTCCTGCAGCAATAAAACCCAGTTGAAAACCAATTTTGAGCTGTGTATAGTCAGAATGTGTCTTTGGGGAAAAAACACAGGATAGGCCGGAGACCTTTAAGCAATGTGCTTTAAATCACAAAATGATCAATTGATCATTTTTCCTGCAAACGTGTGTGTGTGTGTGAGGGATTAGTGGCTTCAGCCCCGGAGGAGCTACAGGAAGTCCCTACAGCATCCAGCTACGAGGGTCATCACAAGCCACGTGGTTCTTCTTTTATTTACCATCTCCAGTGCTCCTTCACTAGAGTTGCCTGGTCCCTACCTGGCATCCAGCCGGAGGCGGGGAGAGAATCTCTGTGTCCAGAAGTGATGTCATCGCACCAGGTGCGTCGTTGACGGACGTTCTAGCATTCGATCTTAAAACCCTATGGTACTTTGGGGGCAGGGTTCCCCCCGGATCCAGGCCGGCAGGTTGGGGGACCCTAGAGCGGGCAAGCCCCCGCCCCCCTGGGGGCAGCCCTGTCCCTCACCCAATCCCTTGACAGTGACCAGTCCTGTCTCTGTATCCCCAGAGTGAATCCTGCAGCCTTGAGCAAGCCCTTCCCCCCTCAAGTCCAACCTGAGTCCTGGGAAGCCTGCAGGGAGGCCCCTCTGGAGTTCTGACACACTCCCATCTACTGGGTGCTTTCCTGGGTGGGCCACACCCCTCCTGGCGGCTTGGTAGTCTGTCCTCTGACCTTGGAGAGAGAGAGGCCCTTCCCCAGCATCTCCATCCGTACCTGTTTGCTGTCTCTGTCTCTCTTCTTCCAAAGTCCGCCTCCCATCAGCCCGGCCCCCCAGCTGTTCTCTTGCCCTTGTTAGATGTGTCTCCTGCGCTTCTGGGCCCCTCTCCCTGGTTAGCAGGGCCTGGCTGGTCTGCTGCTTACAATGTGAAAACCGGATAGAAGATCGGCGAGAGAAAAGGAAGGAAAAACAACTTGATTTCTTATATAATTTCGGCATCCGATGCTCCTTGTGAAGAAAAAACATTCTTACCAAAGAACAATTTGTGCAGTCATCAGAAAACTCTGCAATGCTATTTAAATAATTATACCTTGCATCACTGGGTCTAAGGGCTGTAAGGGATAAACCTTGTCTGAATGCTTGTAAAAGACTTTGTGATCTTTGGCAATTAGTTTGATGACAACAGAGATAATGTGGCATAGATTAATGTAAAGCTGGTGGATGTGGAGAAGTCTACTGTTTCTGCCAGTGACGTACTACAGGTCACGTACTTGCATGTCCTGCATAAACAGCATCATCTAAAAAACAGGAAAAGGAAACTCGGTATCACTCATATGTTATATTTTACAAAAACACCATAAAAAGACAGAGACGATTAACCAAAAGCAGGGGTCATTTCATAGGAAAAGAGGTGCAGGAGCTCATTAGCATAACTTATTTGCACATGCCACACCCCCTGACATCACCGGAAGTGTGTCAGAAGGCAACACCCACCACTCAGGCTCCGCTGGACTGTTTTGGATTGCTAGCTATTGGGGGGGGGACATGCAGATCTGTCCTCACAGAGGAGGGAGAGCTTGTACCTGAGGGTGGGGGGGCGGGGGGCCCTCTGCAACTTACCTGGCTGCTTCTTGCTCCTTGTGGCCTGACTGAGGGCTGCTGGGAGCAGGGGGCGGGGCTTGTTGCATGTGCCCGCCTCCTGGGCTCCTTACTGCCAGAGCTCCGCTCCTGTGCGCTCCTGCAGGAAATGACCCCTGACCAAAAGATATGTGATGCCAGATCTTAGCCTTGTCATATAATCTGTCCTGAGATTTACTTTGCAGAAGATGTAGGTGTTCATTTCTTAAAATGGGTCACAAGAGTTAAATCTGTATTCACATTATTGATTACAGGGCCCATTGAAGGAACTTATCAACTGGTCCCTGGAAACAGGGATCTATCCAAAGGGCCTCAAGGAGGCCATGATTACACTGCTTTTGAAAAAACCAACTCTGGATCCTTCTGATCCTATCAATTCCCGCCCAGTTTTGAATTTGTCGTTCCTGGGCAAGGTAATTGAGAAGGCAGTGGCTGAACAACTCCAAGGTTTCCTGGATGAGACATCAGCACTGGATCCGTTCCAGTCTGGCATCCGCCCTGGCCACAGGACGGAAACGGTGTTGGTCACCCTGGCAGATGACCTCCGTAAGCAGCTGGATCGAGGTGGGTTGATACTGCTATTGTTACTAGATCTTACCGCAGCGTTCAACACAGCCAATTATGATCTTCTGACCTACCACCTCGCCAACGTAGGAGTTTGCGAGGTAGCCCTTCAATGGCTTACCTCGTTTCTCCATGGTTGGGGACAGGGGGCAGCGTTCAGGGAGAAAGTGTCCGCTATATACCCCTTGAAATGTGGGGTCCCTCAAGGGGCACTTATTTCCCCAATGTTTTAACATCTATATATGCCCCCTCACCCAGCTGGCACGGAGGTTTGCGCTTGGATGTCACCAATATGCTGATGACACCCAGCTGCATCTGCTTCTGGACGGCCACCAAAATGCTGCCCCAAAAAATCTGGCCAAGGGTTTGGAGGCCCTGGTGGGGTGGTTAAAAAAGAGCAGGTTGAAACTGAATCTGGCAAAGACGGAGGTTCTGTGGCTAGGGGCCCCAGGGCTCAGGTTCAGCTTACAAGCCCTTGATGGGGCATCATTGGCACTGGTGCTGTCTATCAAGAACCTGGGTGTGATCCTGGATGCCTCCCTTAATATGGAGGCTGCCCAGGTCACACAGACAGCCAGGCTGGCATTTTTCCATCTAGACCCAGCCTGGCAGCTGGCCCCTTTCCTGTTGCCCTCTGCCCACGTGACAGTCTCCTCCAGGCTAGAGTATTGTAACACGCTGGCCTGCCCTTGAGACTGGCACGGAAGCTTCCACTGATCCAGAATGCAGAGGCACTGGGGTTCCCAAGTCCCCCAGGGGGGCGGGGGGTTACCCATCAATGGGTCCCTTTCCCACCGGCCTGGATCGGGCCACCGGGGGAACCCCGCCCCAAAAGTGCCGGGATCGTGGAGACGTGCCTGGCGTGATGATGTCACCCGGAGGGGACGTCATCACACCAGGCACGTTGCGAGGGGGGGGGGAGACGCTTTATCATTCAAGGGGAAACTCTATGATTTCCCCTCGAATGATAACGGTCCCGCCCCCAGTGGGCCCAACGTGATGACATCACTTCCAGAGAAGGCCTGGACTCCCCCTGCTGCAGCCATAGGTAAGACTTGGCAACCCCAAGTGGCACATGTCCTGACAGGAACATCACGGACTGCACATATTTGACCTGTGCTGCGCCAGCTGCACTGGCTTCCAGTGGAGCACCGAGTCAAGTTCAAGGTTTTGGTGTTGACCTTTAAAGGCCTTGAGTGGTCTGGGACCAACATATCTGCGGGACTCTGAGGCAAGGGATGCTCTGTCTTCTTGGTGCTTGGGGGGGTCAACAGTGGGAGGGCTTCTAGTGTCCTGGCCCCACTGCTGGACCTCCTGATGGAACCTGGTATTTCTGGCCACTGTGTGACACAGAGTGTTGGACTGGATGGGCCATGGGCCTGATCCAACATTGGCTTCTCTTATGTTCTTATGTTCTAACTCATCCTCAAGTAAAACAATAGAACTTGACCATGATGAGATTAACTGAGCTGCCATGCCATGGAAAAACATGAGGACAGAGAACTCCAGACGCCATTAGGAGTTTCTTCCAGCAAATGTAGGCAACCCCTTTCCCCCCTCTTCCAGCTACCTACAAATCTAATCAAGAGACTCTATTCATGGTTGCTTAGCAACTAATCGCTCACCCATCAAGAGACAATAGCCCTAGCCTGATGATTCAATCACTCTTCATCCAGGTGCCAGTCCTCAGTCGAAGTTTCTAGCTCTCAATATTGACCACTCCTTAGTCCCCCTCCCCTCTTCCAGCCAGCCAATAGTATGTTTTATGGGATGGACTAACAGGAGGTGTCACAGGGGGATGTGGCCAGCTCAGCCTGCCCCCCCCACCACCACGTTATAAAAGATGCTTCCCAACCACATGGTCTCTCTCTTACTTACCCTCTCCACGACCCCTATCGAAGCTTTAACCCTCTTATCTCCAGCTTGCTATCCATATACCCTACCTCCACCTTTAGTCTGCAGCTGGAGTCCACATGGTTGTGGTGGTTCAGAGCACGTGTTCCCCATCTTCTATTTCTAAACCCCTCTATTCTTCCATTGGAACGGCTCAATCAATGAGGACAGGTAGATATCACCCAACCAACGAATGTCCTGCTAACGCAAGAGTGTTTATGATCTATCTTTACTTCTGATAATCAGTATATGTGTGTGTGTGCTCGTGTATTGTTTGAATGATATATATATCCTCCAGTAAAAAGACATTATATTATACTGAATACAGTCTCTGTGTCTGTGCTGGTACTGACAGGAAAGGTGGGACTTCTGTATAAATTGGTATGAACCCTAATTTGCCTATTGCCAATTAATAACCATAACTTCCCCTAGATTAATTGAGAATTCAAGGCAATTTGGCTAACAGTATGCTTGAGTATTGTTTGACTGAGACATCTTCATCAGTAAAAGACATTATATTTTACCAATCATAGTCTCTGTGTCTGTTCTGGTACTTACAGTAAAGGTGGGACTTCTGCATAAACTGGTGTGAACCCTATTTTGCCTATTGCCAATTAATAAGAATAACTTCCCCAATATTAATTGAGAATTTAAGGCAATTTGGCTAACAAGGTGGAGGCTGAGAAGGCTGAGGCTTGCATTGCCGTTGATCGCAATGACTCTTCCTGCACAGTGTTGGATCCCCAAGCATCGAGAATAAATCCACGTTTCAGAAAAGCAAAATTTATTTCAAAGCTTTGGAAAGATACTCAAACAAGTCTTTTGTTAGGAATGGGTACAAACAGCTAGGACAAGCATAATAAAGAGATTCAAACAAGGTACCAACCAATGGATCACTTTCCCGCTGGCGGGTAAATGGAAACGGTTGCGCGCTCAATCCCTGGGAACACTACTATCTCCAGACATAACATAGGTGCAATTCCCAGGCTCTAAAAGCAACAAGCTAGCATTCAAGCTCACCTCCTACACCACGTCCTCCAGATGTTTGGCTTAAGCGTTACAGCAGAGTAAAATACAAGCTAGCAGGCAGAGGGGGGGGAATGAACTGTACAGCCCGTACAGGTAACACAGAACACAATGGCAGCTCGCTGACATACTGCCCCCTCTAAAATACATCCTACCCCCCGTCTCCCGGGCAGGGCGGGAGATCTCCCGGTTTGGGCGGGAGGCCTCCCGGTTTGTCCAGGAACTTCTTGTGGAAATTACGAATCAGATAAGGGGCCCGAATATCCCCTTCTTCCACCCATTCACGGTGCTGGGGTCCGAAGTCCACCCACTCAATGAGGTACCAGAGTTTACCACGTTGAAGTTTGGAGTCGAGGATGTCTGCAACCTC